TTTATTTATTTATTTATTTATTTGAGAGAGGCAGAGGAAGAAGCAGGCTCCTTTGGGGGAGTCCGATGTGGGACTTGATCCCAGGATCCCGGGATTACAGCCTGAGCCGAAGGCAGACACTCAACTACTGAGGCACCCAGGTGCCCCTCATTCTTCATTTTCTATTCTCTAAAATTAGGGGGATGGTTGCAGGGTGGAGAAGAGTCCATATTCATATCACTTTCCCTCTAATTATTTTACATCATGACAGTGCAAGTTAAAATGATTTCTATCCTAGAGTTAAGTCAGGTAACTAGATTCTGTTGATGTTGGCTTCTCTTTGGTTCTGGTGCACTGTCTATGTTCTGAGTCTGCGCAGCCCAAGAACCTGCAGGCCTTATTGCCCAGTGTCCAGGATGGTCCATTCCAGCCTCCCTTAACATCCTTCCTAGAGCACTTAGCCATCTACTGTCTGTGCTTTGTGGGCAGCCAGGGTTTAGCTCAGCATAGTATTTATATTGGAATATGGGGTTGGGATTTCCTTGCTGTTAGAAATAAGTAGTTTATTCATTTATTAAATATTTGTAAACATCTGCATATCATGCCCTGTGAAGAGCATGAAAATATATTGGTGAATAAAACAGACCATGGTGTCACCCCTCATGGACCTGTCAGTTGAAGGGGAGAGAGGAGTGGGAGTGGATTTGCAACAAGGGGTGGAATTGCAAGATGTTTGGATGCCTCATCTGTGAAGGCCTCCTTCTGTGATTCAGGAGTGAGAATGCAGGAAGGGGGTCTGTGCTGATCCGTCTTGCAGTGTATAAGGAGACATGTCACTTGTCAGTAGCTCTGTGTTAGGTTTACAGTATGGAATGCTGTCTACAAAAAGTGTCATGTACAAATGACACTAATGGCAAATACTGTGAACTTTTGTTATTTGCCAGGTACTGTTGTAAGTATTTTGAATGTGTTCTTTCATCTTCTCCCATGAGAAACAGGTACCGTCAGTATCCCTACCTTTTACAGATGAGAACATGGAGGCCCAGAGGGGTCCGTCACGTGCTTGGGGCTGTGCTAGGTGAAGGGAGGGCTGGCACTGCCTTCCGCTCGCTCGCTCAGCCTCTGCCTAGCCAGTGCCTTTCGGAGAGAGGACCAGCTGGAAGACTAAAGTTCTGGCAAAATATGACTGATGAAGAAAGGATTAGGGGGCTTTTGTTCCATGTTGCTAACATTTGAGTGCTTATGTCTATATGCAGTTAGACCGCATGTAGATAATTAGTAAAAGGAGAGAAGGTCTGGGAAGAGATGAAAATCACAATACTAGAATTCCAAAGGGAATTTATGATCCCAGTATATTTTCAGTTTAATACAAAAAAATGTCTTTAGAAGTTATGAATATTTAAAATAATCTCCCAGGAATGTACCTAGTTCTCTGGCAGCGTGGAATTTTTATTGAAAACTCACCACATCAGTTTTTCTTTGAGTTCATTCTTTTAATTCAGCAACTGCTTCTTTCTAGAAATGGGTGAAGGGGGTTGAGAATACTTCCCCTGATCTCGACCTATGGCAAAGTCAAAATCAAAATTTAGCAGACCTTCTACTCATAATGGAAGGGAAGCTGGTCTACTTTTCCAGTTACATTTTGCCTTATCTATAATGAGAAAACCTATCTTTGGGAGAACTTGAAATTAACTCTGTAATGGAAAGAGAACACGAAGGCTGCAAAAGCCCTGTTGTAGCAGCCCCGTGACCAGCCTGCTGGGGCTTCAACGGCAGGGGAGGGTTGGGGGCAGTAAAACGCACTCGTTGCATGGTTTGCTTGTGACAGATTTCAGAAGAAAACAGAGTATTCTCCAGTTCTCATAAGCCCCGTGTGGTGGGAGCCTGGTAAGAAAGCTGGCAGGAAACATCGGGCCTTCACATACCAAATCGTGCAGAAAGCTGTGGTTTTTAGTCACTACAGAAAAGTCAGGAGCCTCTTTCCAAAGCTTCTCACTTCTTGTACTTTGAAGTGGAGTAGGGACGGGAGGTGACAGCCACTACTGGTCCTGGCCTCCGTGCAGCCCCATGGAGGAGTGCCAGGTCCAGAGGCAGTTCCCTGGAGCTGACTCGTGCCTCCGATCCGAGGCGCGGGTGACATGGACGGAGAAGCTGCACAGACTGGATCCTGCCCCCCTCCCCAGGCAAGGAGTGCAAGCGGGGCTTGCCAGGGATGGGGGAGAGAGCGATGTTGTGGAGCGGCCTGTGGAGCAGCTGGGACATTTTGCTTTCCCCTTTGTTGGAATGCACAAGACTGTTGCAGGTTCCTAAGAGCTTCTCATGCTGAGTGCTGCCACTTTCAGAAGAGGGGTTAAGGGCTCAGTGGAAATAACCCTAGCAGCCTCCCCTCTCTCTCAGGAGGGACGTTTTATTCTGTCCATCCTCCTTTCTGACACAGTCTCCCCTTGTCCGTGCTTTTCTGCTTAGAATCTCTAGCTGGCAAACTCAGGGGGAGAGCTTGTCATCAAATCAGTAGTGTGATACTTTGAACCCCAGTTATAATTTAGCACCCTGTCCCTATTTTTTTAATGAAAAATCTGACCAAATGTAATAATAGAGTGAAAATGAGCAGCAAGGTAGAATGTGGTGTGTCGATGGAGGGGAATGAAAGCAGGTAGGACAACGGGATGCAGGGCGCTGCAGGGGGACAGGACCAGGAGTCCTGGCAGCCCAGAGCGGGAAGCACTGGGTGGGAGAGGAGCAGTAGAGGGGCAGCGTTGTGATGGTGGAGGGGCCAGGAGATGCTCAGAGATGACTGAGTACCCTGGGCCACAGGAGCACCTGAGCAGGAACAGGTGAGAAGCCACCGAGGGACACAGATGTGATAGGCCACCTGAAATTAAATCCAGCTTCATCCAGCAGCCCTCAGTGGTATGTAGACGAGAGGGATGTGTGGGCAAGTCTCCTGAAATTGTGAGTTGGCAAGACGGGGAGCTGGCAAGAGAGTCAAGTAGGACAGGAGAAAATGGAGCATCTGTACCGAGGACTTACAGAAGCCCTTCTCTGTAGAGATTTTGTATTTTGACTGAGATGGGGCATAGAGTGAGCATTTTCCACAGGGAAGGATGAGTTAGGAAATATAGAAATTTGTATATGACGTGATGGTTTCCAGAATTCACAATTCTGAGTTGGCTGTAGGCTGTCGTTTTCATAATTAAGTCAAGAGAAAATCTGATTTTTAAGATCCCCAAATTTATTATTTTAAGAATTATATCATATGGGTTGAAACCCCCTGCTTCATTTTCATGTCATGAATAAAATGAACCCTTTGGGAGCTTTTAACTTGTTTTTTCTTTATTATTGAAACCAGGGGTTCCTGGTTGGCTCAATAGATTGGCAAATTATTCAATATCCTGAGTTTCCATTTTCTGGGCTGTGAAATGGGTTTCTTGCTCTTGCTGTGCTGCGCATTCATGAACTCCAGTGGTCAGAGCTCTGCACAGAGCTTGGTGTGTAGTATGTGAGCCATGGGTAACAAAGATGGCCATTGTACCCAGGGACTCATGGGTCTAGGGGCCACAGTGTCTGCTGGTCCTTATTCCTGAAGTGGTTGCTCAGACAGTATCAATACTCGACTGGCTTATGTTGGCTTTGTCAACATTGTTTATTTAAATCTTGGGCAAATCACTGCATTCCTTAGTCACCGTATAGTAGGTATTGTGTCCGGAGCATTGGCTCACATATGTAGAGGTTAAGCATCTCTGAAAAGTAGAAGAGGTGTCTCCTGCTGTGGTTGCCAAAAACTGGACCTTAGCCTTGGTTCAGGCCCTGCCCTGGGCTTCGGCTCAGGTCTCTGGCCTCCTGGCCTGGTTTCCCATGGGCTGCAAGACAAGCCAGAGAGGGACACCTGGGTTGCTCAGCGGTTCGGCATCTGCCTTTGGCTCAGGGAGTGATTCTGGAGTCCCGGGATCGAGTCCCGTATTAGGTTCCTTGCATGAAACCTGCTTTCTCTGCCAATGTCTTTGCCTCTCATAAATAAGTAGATAAAATCTTTAAAAAAAACCCAAAAAACCCAAAAACGACCAGCCAGAGAAGCAAGAGAATTGGCATTGAATCCAACCAGGTAACCTACCCAGGTAGTTCCAGACTCAGCACTTCACCAGGCCATTTCCTGAGTCGTCTTCTCCAGGCCCATCCCATTGCAGCCCCATGCCCAGCACACAGGCAGATCCACAGATTTCCTTGCAGGTCACTCCCACACTATCCCAGGTTTTAAAGAAGATGTTTTTAAATGAATGTTATTTTGGTATCTGTATAATTAATTCTTTCTGGAGAAGTGAAAAAAATGGTGAGGCTTTCTTTAAATGCCTCACTGAAAAACAAAAGGCAAATGCAATGTGTTTAAAGGTCTTTATGAATCCTTAAAAGGCCAACTGAAAAATGACTTAATTTCGTTTGTCTCTAAATAGAGTTTTATTGGAAGAATTAATCTGTAAGAGTTCAAAATGTCTTATCCAGTAAAATCTGACTAAAACATTTTTTCTGTAGCAGTATGGTCTCTTAAGCATTTCACATTGTCCTGTTTCGTCAGAGCTTACTGATGTTTATGGTACACATTCAATTTCTTTTTCTTCTTTAAGAAATAAAGCAGCTTCATAGTTGAAGCTAATGGTTGTGTTAAAAAGGTAGCAAATTATAGCATGTTGGAGAAGATCAGTGCCAGGGACACTGAATGTAGACATTTAGCCTCTTGGATTAATGGGCAAGAAGGGTCAGTAAGTGCATGGATTTCAGTAAGCTTAAAAATAATATCATCTTGTGCTGTAGTGATAGGAGAACATGGAATTACTGTTGTGATGCTGCATTTGGATGTTTGATTATGGCAAGATCACTTACTTTGTAACAACCTCTAATTATATTGGTGAGGGGAGGGGCCAAGGGAGACAGTTACTGATGTTTTCAGGTGGGAACCATATATGTATCCACTTCTGGAAAAAGCAGACTTTTTCTGCCTCTCATCCTGTTTTCTGGTTGTTCTGCAGGGCCCTCCAGAGTTCCCGCAGCATACACCTGGGCCTGTCCCCAGTAATTTCAGCCAGCCCCCACGACTCCCTCTCCAGGACCAGTGGAGAGCCCCACCCCCGCCACAGGAGCGAGACCCTTTCTTTTTAGGAGGTAAAGGACCTTGCAGACTCATGGGGCAAAGTCGTATTGGGTGATGTGCCTAGAAATGTTCTTTTTTATTTTATTTTATTTTATTTTATTTTATTTTATTTTATTTTATTTTATTTTATTATTTTTTAATATTTTATTTATTCATGAGACAGAAGCAGAGACAGAAGCACAAGGAGAAGCAGTCTCCCTGCAGGGAGCCTGATGCAGGACTCGATCCCAGGACCCTGGGTATCATGACCTGAGCCAAAGGCTCAACCACTGAGCTACCCAGGCTCCTGACAACATTCATGTTTTAAACGGGATTGAGCTTCTAATAGATTTTTAAGAGTGCCAGATTTTTGTACTGGAGCACTTCTTTCATTTCAGTGCTAAAATTAGACATTGTTGGTGCCTGCAATGTGAAAATCTCATACAATTTGTGAGGCAGTCTCCATAGAAAATGAGTAATGAAGCAATCTAGAAATAAGTTGTAAAATGTAGCATTCTTTTCAAACATTCACATCCTGTCCACCACTTGTAACTTGTTTTCCCAGTAGGATGGTACATAAAACTGCTCTTGTGTGATGGGTGTGTTGTGTACAATAGAGGCTCATGTGGCCTATCTCTCAGTTTCAGGTGAACCGAGGTTCCCAAGCCATCTCTTTCTAGAACAGAGAAGCCCCCCTCCGCCGCCACCACCCCCCACACTTCTTAGCAGCACCCACCCAGTGCCCACTCCTAGTCCCTTACCGTTCACTCAGCCTGGACCAGCATTTAATCAGCAGGGACAGCAGCCTGTGTTCCCCAGGGAGAGGCCCGTCAGGCCCACCCTCCAGCCGCCGGGTCCAGTGGGGATCCTGCACTTCAGCCAGCCTGGCTCAGGGGCCACGCGGCCTTTCATCCCTCCTCGGCAGCCCTTCCTGCCTGGCCCGGGCCAGCCCTTTCTGCCCACGCATGCACAGCCTAACCTGCAGGTATGTATCTTGGCGGGCTCCATGGAGGAGGGTTGCTCCTGGAGCTCTGGCTCTTTGTTTCATAAGATGAAGTTTCTTCTTTCCCTTAGAGTCTTCTAAACTGTGTAGAGATTAAAGAATAAGGGTTTAATTTTAAATATACTACTTACTAAAGACAACTTTGTTGATAATACTATTTTTCTCCCTTCAAAGAAGAAATGGAAAAAGTGTCATTTTTTGGGGAAATGAAAAAAAATTTCAGATTTTTTAAAGGTGATACTGCTAATAAAGGTAGGACGTGTTTTGATAATACGTTGCATATCATTGCAAGATTCCTGAAAGGTTTACCAGAGGAAATAAAATTTTTTTTGTTGGATTATGTTCCTGTAAAATGTAGCTGCAGATAGGTTCTTTGTGTGGGAGAACCGTGTTGCCGTTCCTCTGTTATTAGAAAGATTTGAGTGCCCTCTGCTTTAGGTTGTGTTTCATGGGGGGACTTGGAGCGTCTATGAGATTGTTCTTGCTCTGTGTGATTCTGCTCAGATGTAAGCTTACTATAAAGATACAGAATGATGGGATACTTGAATTAACTATTTATAAACATGTAGACTATTGAAAGTTAAAAAAATAAAAGAAAAATTATTATTTTGGGTATTAAAGTAGGATAAAATGTTCCTTCATTTTTCTTTTTTTAAAAATGATGATAAATATATCTTCGTTGCAGAATTATTCAAGTGTAGGTAAGTATTTAAAAAGGAAGTTAAGAAATCCCATCATCTGGGAGTGGTCATCGGCAATATTTGGATCCTTGTGCTTTCCCATGCCCTGAGCACCCTGGGCACCCTGCTCTTGTGCGAGTTAACACAGGGTCAGGATCTCCTGTTCCTCAGTTACCTTCCACCGCATTATGGGAGAAATGCTGCACAGTTTTACGTTTTATGGTAGCTGCCATTCTTTGGACACGTGTGTTGGTTTCAGTTCTTCAGTATTTGAGCCAAAGATGCAGGCAACATCCCTGACATTGTGTTGGTTTGCATCCTTAGTCATTTACTAGAACAAGTTCCTGGAATTTGGGGATTAAGAGGATGTAGAGCAAATATAAAGTGTATGAAAACAGCTTTGGCTTTTTATTGCATTAAAGATCATACTACCTCTGTCAACCAATGTAAAGTGAAATTCTAGTGCCCCTGTGTGGTTCTGGTGTTTGGCTTTCAAGGGGATGGCCGAATGGGAGCATCACTAGTACCTACATTCACAAACTGTTTCTCTCTCCTCGGCATGGAAGGGGCCCCTGCACCCTCCACTGCCTCCTCCGCACCAGCCACAGCCACAGCCCCAGCAGCAGCCTCCCCTGCAGCCACAGCACCAGCCCCCACTGCAGCCACCCCCACAGCACCAGCCACCTCCACAGCCGCCGCACCAGCCGCAGCACCACCACCACCTGTCTGTGCCGCCCCCACCACTCATGCCCATGTCGTCGCAGCCGCAGTTCAGGCCTCATGTTCAGGCGGCTCAGCCTCCACCCAGCAGTGGCCGGATGCAGTGCCCCCAGCGCCAGGGGCTGAGGCATGTGAGTGTCCCTCGGTATTTGATGTCTCCCTGGTTGGGGGGTGGGGGAGGCCCTCGGATGGCACAGGATGTGCCGCCAGAACTTCGGAACTGGAACATCTTCCACTCCCGATTGAAGTACTGAAACGTGTGTATGTTTAAAAAACTGGTGAGGAAATATATTTTCTTGACAACAGAGATTAGTACGTCCCATTTGTGCCTGAAACACTGCATTGACACCCTCTTATTTCATCTTACACATACATATCTAGATATTCTTACTGCGATAGATGGTATTATTTGTGGACACATTACTTGAGCAAATATTTGCCAGTAGCTTCCTGTTTGATGGCTGGATTGTCTGAATCTCCTTGGGCTCTGAATAAATCAGTAAAGGAATTCAGGAAGAATTGATTGACCAGCCTCTGTTGCTAGATGCCATTCCAGTTCCTGGGAATGTAGCAGTGAACACAGGAGACCAATTTCCTGCCTTCAGCAAGCCTATATTTAATGGTGGGAGATGAACAGTACATTTAGTTGTGAGGGTACAGGTTCATCTTGCATCGAAGGAAACGAGGAAATGTGCATTGCTTCACAAACACAAGACATTACTATTGCCTTGTCGTCCATTAAATAACTCCATAAGGAGGCTGATATTCTGCTTGGCCAAGGTGAATTAGTTGGGTTTTCCCTTTAGTACAGAGTCCCTTTGACCTGGAGCTTCAGGCATATCACTTAGCTGCTTTTAATTTCAATTTTTCTCATACCAGCCTCTCTTTCTTTCTTAAAGTAACATTGAGACTAACACGATATAAGAATGGAGGAGGGACTTGTGGATAGGTGCATTGTAACTTAGGCTTCACTTTCTTTGAATAGTGGTGGACTGCACCCCCTGCCTTGCACCCATAAATATTTAGCTGGTGCTCTCAGAGCTCAGTCTCTCCCAGCCATTCCTCCTACCTGTAAGCTCCTCTAGGTGCTGGGTCTCTCTTACGAATCCCAGGGATCAACATGACTATGAATTTCCTCTCAAATAAAAGTTTTGAACATGTTTCTCTTGGAAGATGTAGTTTTTCTTAGGATACTGACTTATTGCTTAGTTTCTTCCACCTTAAATTTAGGGGGCCCAGTAAAAGTGCCAGTAAGCCTTTGTGAGCCCTATCACTTCTGTGACAAATGTCAATCCCCATACTAAGGCACCAGCTGCAGCCCCTTGGCATAATTTCCATTCAGGAGGAGCCTGTCTATAGGCGAGTATGATAACCTTGACCAGTCGTAATCCTCAATGGTAATGTGTGCTGCCCCATAGAGCAGGAACATTCACACATGGAAAAAAGTGTTCACCGTAGGAAAGTTATCCACCCCAGGAGGAGAAGTCCTTTCTTAATTAAAATGATTTTTAACAATATTGTTATCTAATAATTTGCCTTTCAGCGTTCTTTCTCCCATTTATCCCATTGTAATTTGAATTTCTGTCTTCTTGTAATAGAATACAACTTCTCAGAATGTAACCAAACGGCCAATGCAGCAAATGCAGCCAACTGCTCCAAGAAACAGTAATCTGCGCGAGTTGCCAATAGCGCCGTCACACGTCATGGAGATGAGTAGCAGCCGCTGTTCGTCCACGCCTGCAGCTCCAGTAAAGCCTCTCGCCAGCACGTCCCCGCCCACGAGGCCAGGAGGTGGGCCCCGGAGCACACAGGGCAAGACTGAAGCCAAAGTCAAGCCAGTCAGCCCTGTGGTTCAACCCAAAGAGGAAGCAAAAACAGAACCAGAGGTAAGATCGTTTTGATTTAAAAATATTTGATCTCAAACAGGAAGCCATATAATCAACTTGTACCTCTTAGTTTACTCTTATCCATTGAGTTTTTCATAAAATCTTCACTTTTTTACCACTAGGTTCTTTCTTGAACCTAACAGCCATGTCCATGTAAGACATACTTTTATCCTCAGGGGTTTATGATATTAGATTGTGTTTCTGTATTTGTGCAGTTGTAGTTGATGCTGTAGAACTGTTATCTCTTAGGGGGATAGCAAATTATTGGATCTGTTTGCCTGATGCTTCCGTGTTATAGGGATTCCATCCAAGGCTGCTCCCTAGAAATACAGATGCAGCAGCAGTTGAGCAGTATCTGTGAGACATAGGTTTTAACCATGCATAGGAGTCTGCTGTTTCATAGGCACGCCCTGGGAGGGGCCACCATTGCTAGCAGTGCTCTGGGATATGGGAAAAGATCAGGATAATAGAAGTTACACCAATATTTTTAAAAACTATGTAGAATGTATAGTAAGTTTGTATCATTTATTAACATGATGTAATGAAAGAATACCAGCTTAAAGAACTTCCTTAGATAATATAGGCATGAGAGAATAAGTCACGTTTTCTTAATCTGTTATCTTTCCGTTGAAATTGGGGGGTGGAGTCAGATTTTCCTAACAAATCTTTTCTTTTTTTAAAAAAAAATATTTATTTGTTTTTTAGAGAGGGAACACATGGAGGGGCGGGGGCAGAGGAGGAGGGAGAGAGAACCCCAAGCCTCACTTGGGGTTCTTAACTCACAGCCCTGAGATCATGACCTGAGTTGAAATCACGGATCAGTCGTTTAACCAGCTGAGCCACCTAGGCGCCCAGATTTTCCTAAAAAATTCTTGCAGCAGTGGCAATGTAATGTTACCACTAGGAAGTAAACACAAGGCAAAGGTACAGAGTTAACTGTATAATATACTAAGATCATGTTAGAAGAAGGGTGAGTTTTTTGGTTTTGAGATCAATATTTGAAAAAATTAGGTAGGTTTACAAAGTGGACTGGGGTAGTTCATAAAAAGAAATTTATGCTAAAAATTTTATCCTGCTTATATTCTTTATAGGAACCTTGTATGTGTAACCCGATCTGGGTCAGAAAAATTAAGTCACACAACACTTTGTTTTTATAGTAACAGTGCCTGGATAAAATGAGGAAAGTAAGCTTGAGGCACACCATTAGCCACTTGTGGCGATCCTCTTGACAGCAGTGGATTTAAGCAGGCTTCTGAGGAAGTTTCTGTGGAATCAAGCAGGTGCTTTGTATGTGAAGTGAAACTTGCAGGTAGTCCTAGTATAAATTGAATGTCTTCATGTATTCACTTTTAATTCTGTGTACACATAAAATGGGACCAAGAGTAAAACTATTTTTAAAAAGTCTTCTATTTGTTTTCCTTAGGTAAATGTGGTTTATTGTGTTATGTTCACCCAATTGATAATGATATAATAAAGAACAAATGTACCTAGAGGTATTTCTTCCTATGTATTTGAACATATATTTTCTTTAATTTTCACTTTTTTTTGAACATATTTTAATTTCTCTTGATTGGGGAGAATCCTAGTGAATATAAATGATTCCCATGTTGAGGCAGTGGGCACTCAAGACCTGTTTCTTCCCCCGCAGTCTGCTGCTCCCTGGAAGCTCTGGCCCCTAAGCCTTTTGAACTGTTGTCCACGTATTACTATTTATCTGTCTTCCTTTAACACTTTTTCTTGTTCTGGATGCTTCCCTAAATGCCCTCATCTATCTGTCTTCAGAATTGCCCTTTCAGGTCTGTCCTAGACTTTGAAATGAGGTAACCGAGTTGGTTGGAATGGCTTCTGAAATGCTGAGGAGTCCTGATGAGGCCCGGCTGTATGGCCTGTAGGTCAAGTATGTAGGCTCTAGGAGCACCCATGGACGCCTCAGTTGCCTTTTGGTCTTAATTCCCAAGTCTTAAGGCTTATTTGTTAACAGCTGAATTATAAAGAAATTAAATCCTATTATGTTCTTTTGTAAAGGATGTCTGGTTGAGGATATCTGTGATTTTTTTTAAATTATAATTTTTGACAAATGCTTAACGTTTAACAAACTTTCCCCATTGGATGCTTTTTATAAAAGTTACTGAACTTTCTCAAAGATTTTTTTGGATAGACTTTCAGAATGGTTTGGGGCTGGCATATTAAAGCATTCCTTATATACCATTAATATTCCAATACTGCAATTGGCAGCATTTTGATTCTGTGGAGGGTGCATGAGTTCAAGGTCAGAGAGATTGACTTGTGCTGTTCATTATAACCAATTATTCTGTGACAAATGAGTTTGAGATCAGGCTGAAAATTCTGTACGAAAAATCAATAGTTCTAATCAGGCCCTTTCAGGTCATTTATACCCACCTTTTGTTGTTTCGTCAGAGAAGAGCCAGATAAAACCTGTGTGACAGCACGGTCTGCCTACTGTTGCCATTTCCATTCGAAACATATTTTGATATCTTAAATGAATAGTTTAATTGGTTTCAAACTTGTAAATGAGTGGAAATTTACATTATTTCATTTTTAATATTCTGATAAGATTTTCCAAATTAGCTTTAGCTGTGTGTAATTTTTTTTTCCCTCCCCAGAGGAAGGAGTTATACTTAAAGTCTATAAGCAGATTTTGAATGGCTTCTTTCTGATCCAGAATTAAGCGTTTTGGGAAGGTGCATTTATTTTCTCAGTGTCTTGCGCTGACCTGGGATGGCCGCCATCGCCTTCGGCTCCGTGGTAAAGCAGGCCCGTTTTCTTTTGCAGTTTCCTGATGAAGACGAAGAGACGAGGTTGTATCGTTTGAAGATAGAAGAACAGAAGCGCCTCCGAGAAGAGATCCTCAAGCAGAAGGAGCTGCGCCGGCAGCAGCAGGCAGGTGCCAGGAAGAAAGAGCTGCTTGAGAGGCTGGCCCAGCAGCAGCAGCAGCTCCACCTGCCCCCCACCGCGGCAGAGCAGGAGCAGCAGGCGGCTTCACCGTTGCCCACCAATGGAAACCCACTGTTACCCTTCCCAGGTGCACAGGTCAGACAAAATGTGAAAAACAGACTTCTCGTGAAAAACCAAGATGTCACTGTTTCAAATGTTCAGCCCAAAACATCAAATTTTGTGCCATCTGGTGCTAACATGCAGTATCAAGGACAACAGATGAAACCATTGAAACATTTGAGACAGGCCAGAACCGTACCTCAGAGTCCAGCTCAGCACAAGGTCCTGCAGGTAAAACCTGCGGACGGGGAGGGGCCGCCACCCCCCTCACAGACCACTCGAGTGGCGTCCCTGCAGGGCCGGCCCCCGGACGCCAAGCCTGGCGCGAAAAGGACTGTCATGCACCGGGCAAACAGCGGCGGCGGAGATGGGCCGCACGTCAGCTCCAAGGTCAGGGTGATTAAGTTGTCAGGCGGGGTAAGTTGACGAAGTAACTGGTGCCTCTTGGAATCTGTGCTTCACTCAGAATGTCCCCATTCCCAAGGAAGGTTCTTGCAGAAAGGGAAGTTTTAACTGCCTCACTTGCAATCATGTGGTCCAGCCCTCCGTACTACTCACAGTTGGGTGCAAGGGTTGTCATTGCGATTTTCCTTTCCACTGAGCCCTGTGTTGTTTCCATGGTCTATCAGGGGTCTTAAAGCAAGGCCAGTGTGACAGTCCCCATGGTAGATGTTTTGCAGTTTTAGCTTACTTTTATAGATAATTTGTGACAAAACTATCAAGTTTATTTTAAAAATAAAATTTCCTTTGCCACGAAACAAGTATACTTATCTGTTGTGTGTAGCTTTAGATTCAGTGAGCAGCGGTGGGTGGGGGGCAGGCGTGTGTGTTGTGTGGCTCCTTTTAAGCAGCGTTGTTTGGAGATTGTTTTCTGTCTCTTGTCAAGCTAATCTCCTTTGTTGTAAAAAAAAAAAAAAATCGACAGGATTCTCAAGAAAGTCCTGTATGGTCTTACTGCAGGTTTTCAGGAGTTTCCTTTGTTTCTTTCCTTTTGGATGGTTCCCCCTATAGATCATATTCAGTGGGGCACCGTCCTTGGGTTTAGAGAAGTTAGGAACGCAGTTGCTGCAGACAGACTCGCACAGCGGAAGTCTGGGAGTGCTTTGTAGCTCTGTAGAATCCATGCTTTCTCGCCCTGCCACATGTTCTTGACTTGCCCACAGGGGGTGACTCACCTGTGCCATGGCCTACTGTCTGTGTCAGGGTGGGCCATGCCCTGGAGCAATGCTCCGGCCTATGCACCCTCTCTATTGTGCATTGAGGAAGGGAAGAGCTGGGGATGCGGGTGGTCAGAGCAGGCCACCTAAACCAGAGGATGTTGACTGGCATGGTCCCTTGTGCACTTGGTGGGGGGCGCAGAGGATCATTGCCGTGCTGGGGTAGGAACAGCTCATTGCTAGTAGTTTAGCAAGTTGAGTTTTATTGCTTTTATTTCCTGGTCTGTAAAGTGTGACTTTTTCATGTGATATGAGAAAAATCTGATAGAGTAATACGAATTGGGAATTCCATCTTCAGCAGACCCTGTAATATTTTTTCAAACCTGTTTTTTCTCCCCTCCATTAATTGTGGTTCAGGTGTTGGGTAAGCAGATGTCCTCTCTCATATCGGCTTGTTTTATCGTTTTATGAATTTGTTTTCTTTAGGCGAGAACCCAAGCATTCAGTTTCATGGTATCTGTGGTCTTTTGTTTTGACCTTGTTTAAGGCAGGCTTTGTCAGTGTCTCATTTTTTTTTTTTTTTTTTTTTGAGTTAAGAACTTATAAGGAGGGGCCAGGGGGCCAGAGGGCTAAGGTTGGGAGTAGGCCTTTTCCCTATGGCATTGATGGTTGGTGCCATGTGCTGCTGTGGCTGGTGTGAACTGAGGACCTCTCATAGGCTGGGAGGTGCAGGGCGCTGGCAGCTTTCAGACTAGTAAGGACTTATCCTTTAAAAGAATTTTTCTACTTAAATTTTTGCTGTTTTTTTCCAGTGGGAAAAAAGATTTTTTTTATTAGACTGTATCCCAGAATCATGCTGTATAATTTTATAATACACAGAAAAACAACAGGAATTCTGTGTGAAAATAGCTACTTGCCAAAATTTGAAACAACTTTTTAGCTCTTTTTAATTTTCAAGTTTTAAGCTATTTAATCAACATGTTCTGTATCTTAGAATTTAGTCCAGCAAGTCCTGCAGTAGCATGTTGGCAACTTTCAATTTACCAGGGATTAAATACATTTTGGGTGTATCTCTGAACCAGAAAAATAGTATTTCCCTGAAAGCCTTGGGTTTTTGTGTGTGTGGATAGGACTATCCTTAAGAGAACGTATTCGTAATTGTGTGGGTGGTGGGAGGAGGGAACCATTTCATTAGGTGATGGGTGAGCTCGCATCTCCTGGGGCTGTTGTTTCTGCCCCTGCTGGTGCTCTCTTTCCTCCGCAGGCCATGGTGTTAGTGCCTGGGACTCGGCTACCCAGGACTTGGCTAGCGCCCTGGCTAGGTTCTGATGGGCACAGCAAGCTTAGTGTTGTTTATGCACTTCAGGTAAAAACATCTCGTCTGTTGATGTTCTTGTATTTTGTTGTGAGGGCGGGACTTCTGTACATCCTGTTAGTACAGAAGCACAATATAGTGTATTTATAAGTTTTCCTAGAGAGATTATTCTGGAGAGAGTCAGTTTTGTTTCCCTTACTTCTTTCTAACCTAAACTGGCATCAGATATATGCAATTAAATTATTCTTTGCATTCGGTCGCCTCCTCTAGTTCTGTTGTTTGGTCTCCAGACAGGGCACAGGACTATGGCAGTATACAGTGCCATGCTAGAACATGGCCCGGCAGTGATCACATTTCAGATAGGTATCCACAGGATTGTCAGGAAAGCAAAAGTGTCTTGGAACTCTTATTCTGACATACAGAATTGGAAATACCTTAAAACTTAATTAGGATTCTCTAGGTGTACTTTTACTTGTGAGGCGATTCTGAATCAATATGGAGTTCTCTTTTATTATTTTCCGTATTTCATTATTTATAATCAAACAATTTATCTTTGGATTATATTAAATTGGGTTTTTTAAAATGTGAACGAGCCCAAGTCTTAAGACAGGTGTTGTTTTTTTAATCTTTATTTTTATTATATTATTTTTAAAGTGATTTTAGTTCACCCTAATCAGTATAAGGGAATTTCTAGTCCTTTTATATCCTTTCTCTTTGTTATAGCTAATGTATCATGGGCATAGGAAGCATTTTCAAAAAGAATTGAATAAAAATTCTTTGTTGATATTGGTTCTCACCGTTGTGGCAACTGAGTCATGGTAAAGCTCACAGTGGTTCTTCACTTTCATTGGGAGCCCTCTGTGGGCGTCCTCTTGGTGGTTGGTCGCTGTGGAATTCCTTTCATGAAAGGTAGCGGTGGAGGCCCTCCCTCGCCAGGACTGAGCACTTCTGTCTGTCTGTGATGGTGCGACACGTACACAGTGTGACTCTGTGTGAGGAGGACCCTCGTTTGGGTAGGCGTGTGTTACCCATCCTCTGAGACCCTGAGCTGTCAGTTTGTTTCTCTGAACCCCAGTCTCCAGGTACCCAGACTGTGGACGGGGTTATAAAAGAATTGTGGAAATGAGTGAATGAGCCTTTTAGCACATGGAAGGCACTCCATGCATAGCCTGCTTTCTTTTGGGCATGCTCCTAAGGCCCCCTTCAGGAATGCAGTCTGTGATTTCATGCCCTATAGTCATCTGGCTTACCGTATGTTTAGCATAGCCTCAGAGCATTTTTGTGAGGTAGATACTTTGATTCCTGTTTTATAGGTGAGTAGATTCAGTCTCAGAGGTTGTGTTAGTACCCTAGAGCCACCCAGCTACTGATTGGGTAGAGCTGAGGTTCTTTACTAGTATTTATAACAGTTGTTTTTACTGCTGCCTTGTTCCAAAGTGTTAATTCTTGATCAGAGATCATATTCTACGGTTTCCGGTAAGTACATAGCAGAATTAATAGAGAAAAGTTTTAGTGGGGGCTTCTAGAAGAAGGGTGATGATTAGGTTCATTTTTCTTGTCAACCACAAGTACTAGTGACTGGAGAGTGATGAGGATTCTAGAGTAGGAGAAAAGTGTTGGGATTGGCATATGGCAGCAGCTCTGAATAACAGACTGGAGAGTTGCTGGGTTTCCATCATTCCCCTTCTAGAACCTTACCATGTGGGTAACACAGGGCCCCTGGCCCGTAGGAGTGAGGGATGGTGTCTCCTGGCTCTATGCAGCTGTAACTTGCCATGTGCTCTAAATGAACCTTTGAACATTTCCGTAGAAATCAGATTAGGTCACATTTTATATATAAAGCACTAGGGTGAGAACTAGGGGAATTTGCTATTTAAATTTAGAGACCTTTGTTGTGAGCCTCATCGATATATGCATGAATTTTAGTTTTCCCACTCATATTTTGTCATCTAGCTTTGCTACATGAGACTACAAAAGGAGCAAGTTTGCGTAAAGTGGCAGTTCATGAAGAGTGTTCAGTATTGTTGAATACTTTCAGAACAACTTAATATTCCTTTCTGAGTGTTTCTTATATGTAAGTAACCTATCTGAAGAATTATATTTGATGGAATGGTTCTTTTTTATTACTGAAAATATGGAAATATTTTCCATTTGCTCATTTCTCAGAAAGCTACTTAATTTAAGTATTTAATTTTCAGAAACCAAAAGAGCAGTCTTTTTAAATCATAATTTTATTCATAATCCAGAAAATCCGTTTAAGTAATATCAGAGCAAACACAAAAATATAAAGTGTTTATTCAGTGTAAACTTATTATAGTCATCCAGCCATCCTTTGTGATCACACCCCAGAAAAAAAGAATTAGAACAAGCATGTGTCATGGGCACTTCCTTCATTAAGGAGTTTAATCAGGGCTTAGCTTTGGCATCCAGGTTAAGGCATGTTGGGTTGTGGTTTCAGGTAGCCTTGGTTCGTGGCCCCAGCAGGCCCCAGTGTCCTCCAGAGAGTGTGGCGTGCTCCCACAGGCTGGCTGGGGGCTTGAGACGGTAGCAGGGGTAAGGAGCTGTGCAAGGCCCCGGCCCCTGGGAGCAGCTCCAGGGCCACCACCCTTTACTTGCTGACCAAGGCAGGAGCAGTGGCTTATTCAGAGCAGGAGTTTCTAGTGCTCTTTAAGAAAATGAAAGCAAACTCTGGATTCAGTGGCTTTATTCTGATTGAGGTAATAAAATTTTTAAGGATTTGGCAGCAAATTAAGTAAACAGTCCTTTGTTCTGCTGGCCACACAGAGAAATGGGAGAAGTGCAGAATGTCTCAGCAGGAAAGCCAGCTGTCCAATTGTGATACTCTTGTATTTTATTTTTAAAAGGCTGTCAAAATGCTGCTTGCGAAAGGTCCCAATTTATTTGTGTGAGCTTGCTTTTGGGGGTTGGACTGTACTTGTAGATTC